TGTCAGCGGCTATTTTGTTATGTTGGGACGCTTTCCCATTTCTTGGAAGACCAAGAAACAGACTACAGTTTCTCGTTCTTCCGCCAAAGCTGAGTACCGGGCCATGGCTGACACTTGCTACGAAATTCGGTGGATTCAGCACATTCTTGACTGCCTTGGAGTCTCGCCTACCTTAATTCCGAGGTTATATTGTGATAACCAATCTGCTCTCTACATCGCAGCTAATCCAGTATTTCATGAGCTAATGAAACATGTCGACATTGATTGTCACATTGTCCGTGAATGTGTACGACGTCACGAAATCTCAACGCATTACGTTCCCACGCGACTCCGGCGAGCTGATTTGTTTACTAAACCTTTATCTCATCCTAATTTTTCGTTTCTTTTATCCAAGCTGGGCATTCACGATGTTCATGCTCCAACTTGAGGAGGAGTGTTGACTACTACGACTATTAGGTTTAGGTTTAGCCTCTTGTACTGGGCTTTAGCCCACTGTATTTATGTAACTATATATATCTCGTTGTGTCAATGAAAAACTCAAGCGGTTGCATTTACCTCTCCGATATATTTCTACAAGTTTTCATAATTCAATCGTCATACAATTAAAATTATAGAAATAAGTCCTCAATCCAATAACCAAAAATAATTATTTGAAAATAAACCTCTAAGAACGGAAAAAATATGGTACCAAAACTTTAATGCCTAAAGTAAATGGACGAAAGAGAAAGAGATAAAGAAGGCGTACAAGGAGAGAATCAATGAAGAGATACGAAAGATAAGGTGAGGATGAGCACCATCATGCTACTGATCGCGATCCTGAAATATGTTCACAATGATATTGAAGTTTTATCTGTTTTGAAATATGTTCACAATAACATAGAATGCTCCAATGTGACCTCCTTTTGCTGCTCTCTTCAGAAATTCACTTGCAAGTTCTGGCTGATCATCTTTAAAGAAATCCATCTGAAAATAGTAAAAGCACATTTAGGAGTCTTAGTACCAATCTCAATGAAAAAATCTATCATTGAAAAGTTATCTTTAAATATATGTTTGGATATGAAGTGTACATAAAATTAATTCTTACCACGCCCTCTCTATATAAAGCTTCTGGATTTCCACATTCTCTGCACAACTCCAAGAATGAAGTGACTTTGTTTATCTTCTCTTGATTTTCCTTCTCCCACGAAGGTTCTATTGAAAACTCTGTCATGCATTCTGATATACGTGTCGTTCATTTGCGAGAAAAACCTTGCAACTAGAATATCAATCAATTAGAAAAAACAACAATTGCTCATCGCACAAAGATCTATAGAATTATGAGATACATACATATATAAATAAATATATACCTTAGCTTCGCATTGATATAATTCGTAAAAGAAGTAGAAGCAATCTTTGCAACAATTATAATGTCTGACTTTTTTCGCATTTTATCAGAGATTCTATTTGATAAGAATTTTTATCTATTTTGAAATTTCTGTAATTGTTTTCTCAAAGGATATAAAAAATAAGTATTGATCTCGTAAATATAAATATAAAAATTTAAATTACTATCCGAAAAATATTCTGAAGAGTTGGTCTTGCTCCTTTATATAGGTAAATTTGCCACTTTTTGCTTCTTTTTTTTTCGTTTTTGAAGAAATTACGTTATATTTATATTTTTCTACTTTAATTTCTTGTTCACAAATAGTTAGATAGAGTTGGTCTTGCGTCGTACATGTAATTTCCCACTTTTTGCCCTTTTTAATTTGTGGTAGGATTTTGAGTATGAAACGTTTCTTTTTATTGTAAAATTCTTATATGTATTTTAAAGGGATAATGTATAAGTACCTTTTTAGATTATGATCGAAATTTCACATGCAAGGTTTTATTATCTTTCTGAATTTATTTATTTATTAATTTTGTATATCTTTTGTCTTATGTGACATTCTCTATGACTCTATGCAATTGAGGCGTGTGAGAGATATTTGGACTAATTTCACGTAAGCTAAAAAGGTGAACAAAATTACTATGAAAAAATGTGTTTGGGGGGTAATATGACCTTAATTTAATTAAGGTGTGTCTCTGGAATTTCGGTCATAGTCTAAGGGGTACTTCTACCTTTTCCCTATTTTAAATTACTGAATTTTTTTTTTGGTTTCTCATTGGATGCACTGCAGGACATATATGGGAGTGACATATCCAACAAGATTTTTTTTCATATCTAGGACTCGAATATCATTGTAACACAATCCATGAATAAAGTTATTGATTAATAAGTACTCTTACGGTTTATAGTATGTTTTATGTAATTTTCTCATATATTTTGAAAAGTTTTAAAATATTTATGTTCAAACCCAGGATCAATATTAACAAATTTGACTTTAAAAATTGGAAAGATAATACCACATAATGAGACAAAGGGGTAATTTTCAAATGGGAAACTAATGTAGTGGCAAAGCGCGAACACATGTCAATAACTCAAGTAAAATATATTTTATTTATAAAGTCATAATTTTTATTGATTTACTTTTTTTTGATTAAAAAAATGTGATTCCTTAGATAACTAATAACTATTAATTAATGGGCAACTTTCACATATAGCAAATAAAAAATTTATATTTGTATGCTATAACAAAGTTTGCATAATTGCGCTCCATAGCAAACATAAAACTGTATAATTCGCTATACATATACAATTGTATAATTCGCTGGCCAAAATTGTATAATTCGTGGGCTTATTTCGCTGAAATTGAATAATTCCTTATCCTATTTCACTGCAATTGTATAATGCACAATTGTATAATTCGCTATCTATTTCGCTGCAATATTTTTATGAAATTTGTTTTGCATACAATTGAATCGAATTAAAATGTATGTATATTGCATAATTATAAGTGTGTAGCAAGAAGATATATATTTTTCTCTCGCTTTATACAAAAACAGAAACACAATATATTCACTTCTGTTGTATGAAGCTAGAGAAAATTGTATTTCACTGCAATTGTATAATTCGCAATGTATAATTCGTTGTCTTATTCTCTGCAATATTTGTATAAAATTTGCATTTGTCTACAGTTGAATTGAAGTAAAGTGTTTGTAAATTGTATATTTAAGTGTATAACATGAAGATATATGTTTTTGCATGTGTATATACAATTTTCTCTTGCTTTATACAAAACAGAAACAAAATTTATACACTTCTGTGTATAAAGCGAGAGAGGCGAGCAGAGGGAAAGTAGCGAGCGAGAATGGGAGAGTGGCGAGCGAGATTTTTGGGAGAGAGACGCCTGCAAACTTTGGCTATCATTTGCTATGAAGCACAATTAAATTAAACTCTAGCTACTCCATTTATTTAGGTTATTAGTTTGCTATTATATACAATCTTCCCTTAATTATTTAAGTGATCATCTAAAAAAAATCAATTCCTAATTGTTTAGTTGGTTAGAGTAATACATATATTGGTAACACAAGAATTAGTTATGAGGAAATCTATATATTATTTTATGCATGACTTATTTATTCGCGTATTGGTTATTCATGTATACATTGTTATTTCATCTTCTATTGATCCTACATAAAATAATACATAAATTCCTCATAACTTAAACATATGTTAGTTATGTCAATTTCTAAATTACAAACCAACTAAATATTTTATTTTTATCCAAAAATAACTTACCTTCTAACCAATTATCGATACCCCTATTATATTATACATAGACCAATAACAACATACTCCTTATAAAGCAAAAATGTCAAATTTTGTTTCAAGCTGGGCTAAAAACATTGTCACCCTACCTGAAAATTATGTTATGCCTCCTGATTAAAGGCCTAATGAACATGTCTCAATTGGTAACAATACTCCAGTAATTGATCTAGCAAAAGCATCATCAAGCCCAATTATTCATGCTAGTTTAGTACAAAAAATACTAAAAGCTAGTCAAGGATTTGCTTTATTTCAGGTTAGTAAAGTTTCTATTAATAATTAATTCACTTTTTCCCTTTACATTAAATGAATTGAGCACTAATGAAGATTAATTCTGGTTTCAATATTTATGAACTTATATATAGATCATAAACCATGGAGTATCAGAGAAACTGATGGATTTATTGGATATGGAAATCGATATATCAATGGAGAGATCTTCTCATACAACCTGTGTTTCCCATTCAAGAAGACACACAACATTTGCGCTAGACGCGTAAAAGCTCTTACCAACGTTAGTTAGTTGACACTGAATCTGATAATATCCATATAGACAATAGATATATACTATACAAATAATGTTAACAGTGGATCATAATGTTAAGACTGTGAGTAGGACCGATACGATGATAATTTAATTATTGAGTAATATATTACGTCAATTGATATCTAAGATTAACGTAACATCTATGACTTCCTCATTCTATGTATACATACTGTACCTTACATAATCATTTAATGTAACCAATAGCATATCTTAGACTATGCCTTACATCATCAGTTATATATCGCATGATCTCATAATATCCCTTTTAAATTAGGTACAATTACAATTTACATGTGTTAAAAGTTAAACCATCACAAAAACAATTTTTCGCACTAATAGATTAACACAAAACGTTAACTGTATCTAAAATAACATATTCAGCCGATCAAACTATCATCGTTAATTAATAGTCACTAGAATTCAATCATTCAGAGAATATATATATATATATACATAAACGCACTTTTTTCTCCAATATATATGTATATATAATACTATTAAAATCAATTAATCCCTATTAACTCAATACGTATTTAACGTGACACTTGTAGAACGTCATCCCTATGGACATCACCTCTAGGGACCATCTTGGTATCTAGCAACCTATTAATTGATTAATTAACATCTATAGATTCTAATTAGTCGATTAATTATTGTAGATGATATATATTAATATTGAATAGTAAGTCATAGTTGTGTTTTAAATAAATAGTAAACCTAAGGTTTGACTTTTTCATAGCCATCTGAAAAAAAAAAAACATACTCCCATTAAAGATTCTTGAATGTTTTTTCCCCTCTAGTATAAATAGCAACATCATATTATTAATTCGTAACCTATATTCAAATAACACAAACATTGAATAAAAACAATATGAATGAAGATAATTCAACTATTAAGAAGAAAGAATCATGCGTAGGAGAAGTAAAATATAGAGGAGTAAGAAAGAGGCCATGGGGAAAATACGCGGCGGAGATAAGGGATACTAATAATAATGGATCGAGGGTATGGCTAGGAACTTATGCTACTGCGGAGGATGCTGCTAGAGCTTATGATAAAGCTGCATTTCAAATGAGAGGACGTTTTGCGGTACTTAATTTTCCTCATGAGTATCCATCTGATCATCATTCTTCTTCTTCGTATTCAATGTCATCTTCGTCAACGTCGTGTTCATCAGTGAAACAAGTTATTGAAATTGAGTACTTGGATGATAAGTTATTGGAGGAACTTCTAGGCTTGGAATCTGACAAATCTCAGTATAATAAGTAGCTATTTTAGTTTGTTTTGTATATGCATGCATGTCTAAATAAAGAAAGACACTCTCATATGTACTTTATTCACCTGTTAAATTAATGGGCAATCTATGCTTTTCTTTTAATATAATTTTCATTCCAATTTATAGGACACAATGTCTGTTTCAAAAAGTATGTGATCTATCTTTAATCAGAATTAATTTAACTTTAAAATTTCCTTTTAGTTTTAATAGAATGACTTATATTCATACAACTATCTAAAATTTATTTTGAATCATATAAATTCAAATAATATCACGTAAATCAAACCAGTAGTCCAATAGAAAAAGAAAACAAGGAAATGTAAGGTTGACTTTCAACGTGTACTGTTTTGTTGGTTTTGACTTTGAATAGGTTATTTTGTGAAAGAGAAAAAGTCAAAGGTCTATTGACTCAATAAATACAAATGATTTTGACAAGGTCATTAATTAGCTTTTGGGAAAATTGAGACTTTTATCAAGTATGTGTATCATTTTTTAGTTTACTTTTATTTGAAAAAGTTAGGAAAAATGATTTTATATTTATATTATAATATTTTTAATAAACAATTTTTGATAGAGTTAAATAAATCTAGTCACGGAAATAGATATAAACAATAACTTAGTGAAATAGCTTATAACTTTAGTAATTAATTGTATTAAATTTTTTTTTTTTATAAGTGATATAGTATTTCATGAGATATTATAAGAAGAATTTGATTGTTAACGTATATAACTCAAAAGAATGGTTCTATTTGAAATAGGTCCGATTATCATGCTAATATTGCATTTTTTTTTATACAAACCATTTTGGTAAGTCTCATATCATTTTTCTTATCAAATTCTAAAATTGCAATTCAAAGTATTACACTAAAAAGGTATTTGAATAAATTTCAAGGCTTTTAGCTTCGCTATAGGTGGTTTAAAAAATAAATAAATAAGAGTTAAAATATCAATGATCTCATCCCGCCCGTCCCGTTCCATCTTATTTTATCGTGGGATCGATGGAATCATCGATTCGTCCCGATTTATATCGGCCCACCACCATCTTGCTTCAACTTTCTCCTGTCTCATTCCGTTTCGTCTCGTCCCGTCCCGTCCGATGTTAGTTTCCTAAATCCATGCACCATCTAGCTTCTCATTCTATGAATACACAACTATGCTTACTTGGTGCGCATGATCTCATCTAGGGGTATCAAAAATGAATCCAAACATAGGTAATCCGTCCAGAATTTTAAGGGTTGAACTTAATATAATTTGAATTGGGTTTAATCTCAACTCATTCAAACTTAATCCATTTGAAGAGAACTCTCAATTGAACCAACTTAATCTCTAATTTCAACCCGTTTTAAAACTTTTTATTAAGATATGTTCCTATATTGAAGGTATGAATTATTATCTATTTAACATCTTTTAGGATTTATCTACTTGAGCGAAAATTCGGAATTGTCATTATAAAAGTTTAAATATCAATATGTTATATTATTGAGATTAATCGGATCAAATTGGACGGGTCAAGACCCAACCCATTTTTTAGCCTATTTGAGCCCAAAGTAAACTTGGCGGGGTCAAGACCCAACCCAATTTATACTTAACCCATTTTAATATTTTCAATTTTAACTCAACCCGCCCATTTAACACCCTAATCTCATCTTTTTCACTTGAGTACAACCAACACATGTTAAATTAACAAAGTCACTTGTATACCAATCAAATTTAATATTCCTATATATTAAACTTTAAGAATCTTATATGGGGATTTACCTATGTATGCTAACACTATTTTCTATTCTCACAAAGCGTAGAGGAGAAGGGTGATCTTGTGCATATCATTCGCTAAAAAATTATATAACGTACGTAGGTTAAATGTTAGTTAGTATGAGTGTATATATTTGTAATTAATACAATTGAGAAGAAAATTAATACTTTCTTTGCATAACTTCTAACTCTGTCACTAAATTTATCTCCCAAATATATTAAATAAACCCTTAAAAGCGGTTAACTATATATACTTATCAAATTAAGTACATACCTAATCACCATGACAACTTCTTGATCGTCATCATTATACAATATATCGACATCATAGCCATGATTCATGCATCTCTATACCTAAGTGCTCTATTAGATTCTATAATTATATTAATTAGCTAATCACTTTATAATGGAGTACTAATTGACATGTAGATATAGAATATTGTCAAAAGATACAGGAGAATCGAAGGGCTGCTCATGAAAACAAATACAATTAATCTGATTATTAATAAATCCCAAAAGTTGATTTATTTTTTTTATAAAAAAAAAAGACAACTGAAAAGGAATATATGTTTGAAAAAACAAACAGAAAAGGTCCCTTAATTAAAGCCATCACATACTAATTAAATAACAATAATCTTTAATGGTTGGTTTTTGAAAGAGGTCCCCTCCACTATAAATAATGTTTACGCTTTTATTACGTGCTGCATAGTTTCAAAAAGAAAAATACATAACTATCCTCTCAATTTATGCTCGAAATCTCAAAGACACACTTATATTATACTAATGTTTTACTACTCCTGAACTTATTTTATAAGTAATTTTCTACCCCTTTTCGTCCTACGTGGCACTAGCTTGAAAAAAAAAAGTCAAACAACATTGGGCCCACAAGATAGTGCCACGTGGACCGAAAAGGAGTAGAAAAATTATTAACAAAATAAGTTCAGGGGAATAATAGGACCTTTGAAAAGTAAAAGTATGTCTCTGAGATTTCGAACATAGATTGAGTGGTACTTGTGCATTATCCCAAAAAAATTAAGAAGAGAAGGTCTAAGTTAAGTTAATTACTCATTGATATTTTCATCAAACTATATACAGGAATAAGTATGTACCGTTCATATAACTTTTAGCGATAATTAATCATAACTATAGCGAAATTGTTTATTGATAATTAACAGTACTCTGGTAAATGTCTCTAGAACCAATAGTGACATTGAATTCAATAGTAATTGGCTTTAACACTCACTGTTGATGTATATATTTATTTCCGCTGATTATTGTTATAAAGATAACTGATCATAAAAAATGTGATTAATAACCTAAGGAGTATATAAACTTGCTACTTGTTTAAATATACTCCATTAATAGTGAAAAAATATCATTTCCATTGTATAAAAAATAAATTTAAACATAATTACTATGTTATAACTGATGTATCAAAAAGTAATAGTACAAAATTATTTACATCTAGAATCTATATATAAATATAATATAAACCCTTATGTTTATTCATAAACTATTTGTGTTTTGACACAACTATCCTAACTTTGGCTTTTAACAATTCTAATCTGGCTGACTTTGAAATTCGACTTAAATAAAGGAAAATGTCAAAGTTCTTCAATTGAGTATTGACAAAAGAACATTTGAAAGAATTTATGTCATACTCACCATCATATTGGTAGTGTTATGTAGTTTTAAAAAATATGTTCTATTTGATTATATTTAGTATTTTATCATATCTTACTAATTAATATAATAATTTGCATCCTAAAAATATAAAATGCTTATACATATTTTACATATGTGACCGAATAATTAATTGTTTATATTATTATCGCATAAAATTTAAATTTTAATAGGATCTTTTGAAATACGGGACAAAAGCCTAAAAGATTAATAGAATCTTTTGAAATATGAGACAAAAGTTTAAAAAAAAATTCACTAGTTATCACTGACAGAGATAGTTATTTAGAAAAATATTGGAGTAAATAGTAGAATTCTTAAAATGGATTTGACCCGTTAAGTCGGCTTAACCTAATCCTTGAATTAAGTATGGTAAGATTTAATTTTTTGATCTATCTAGGAACGAGGCTTTTTAGTTTAGTCTTATTTGGCCCGCGAGCCTTAGAGGTTAGTCCGTGGGCTATGAATGTTAGAAATATTTATGGAAAATTACTTGGATTGATACCTTTCGATAATGGAAAAATTACGCAACAAAGCAAACTTATACTATTCAATTACTCATCATAGTTATAGTTTGTTATAATTACCATTCGTGACTAACATTATACATTAATTACGTGGACTAACTTCAAGTTTGTATAATTAGTCATGTTTGTATATGTATAATTCACCAAAATATACAAATATATATGTATAATATACAATTATTTAACATATATATATATATATATATATATATATAGAATTCACCTCTCTCCCACTCTTTGCCCTCTCTCGCTCGCCTCTCTCCTCCCTCTCCAAATCTTGCTTGCCCTATATACAAATGCATATATATAATATACTATTATAAACATATACAATTCATCTCTCGCCCACTCTCTACCCTCTCTCGTTCGCCTCTCTCCTCCCTCACGCAATCTCGCTCTTCTCTCTCCTCTATCTCCCAATCTCGCTCTTCTCTCTCCTCTATCTCCCAATCTCGCTCGTCTCTCTCCTCTATCTTCCAATCTCGCTCGCCTCTCTCCTCCTTCTCCCACTCTCGCTTTCCATATATACAATTACAAATGTATAATATACAATTATCTAACCGATATACATATACAATTCACCTTTCTCCTACTCTTTTTCCTCTCTCTCCTAGTTCCACTCACCTCTCTATTCTGTATAACATGTAGCTACGAATTGTAATTATTAAATTATAGTTATGTTTGTAATTAATCTATTTTTAAGTGGCTATATATGAAAGTTTCCCTTTAATAAATAATTACTAATTTTAGCAATACTTTTTTATTTAGTACCATTTATATCAATATTATTTTAAATCTGTAATATATATTAAACGTGAATTATGTATACAATATATATGTATTATAATTGTTTTTAACTTATTATGCTTGTTTGGTAAGAAATTGACACATTATATTATAAGTGTATTAAAATGTATAATAAATGTATTATCGATCAATACAACTTGTATTATATGTGAAGAGTAAAATGTTATTTCTAATATCTATTAAAACTGTATTGTAAATGTATTAAAAGTGATAAAGTGAAAAAATGTTATTGCTATAAATGATAAATATTTTTATTAAAGTATATTTATATAAATTTCCTATATTTATTATATACTATATTTTAGTATTGTTTTATTTGTAAAGATATTTTCAGAAATATTGAAGAAATATAAAATCAAGTCTAACTCCTTTGCGGATCTGTTAAACTTTAGGGTCATTAGCCCACTATAATCAAGTCCACTTTTGTTTTATTCTTAATTTTTCATTTCTCCATTGTTATCTTGTTTATGAAAAAAATGATCATGTAATTTTTTTGCTCGGATAAATCTTACGATATTGTATCTTGGTAACTATGTATTTTTTTAAGTATCCACTAAAGTGTATAATTCATAAATGATTTTTTGTATTTATTGTTGTCATGTACATGTTCATTAGACATCAATGTTCGTAAAAATTATGTGTTAACAATGAGATTCGAACCTTGGTACAACAACACTAAAAGAGTCTTAAGTATCCATCCTAGAACCATTGGACCAACTATATGATTTATTTATTGGGTGCTCTATATTAATTTTATACAAATACCTATCGATTTCTACATAAATAAATATATTTCATAACGAAGTTAATAGGCGCTCGAGCACCCGGCGAACACCATGTGGGTCCGCCCCTGGTTGAACTGCTATTCTTAGGCCGTTAATTAAAGGATCAGTATGTCCTAACTAATTTAACTCTCTAGCCTGTTATGATTGGATTGAATTGTGTCAAATCATTTTGACAAGTATTGATGTGAATGAGAAATTGAAATTTTGAAGTTAAGTTTCTTTTATAGAAATTTTCTCCCTTATTGATGATGTAAATTGGAAAGGAAGACTAGTATACTTATATAGAAAGTTTTTTCTCATGTTGTTGTCGTCGCTCAACTTCAACTTCGATCTGATTGATAGATAATATTATTTCCACAAAAAATATACATTGAATTCAAATTTACAAAAAGAAAATTGAATCTTTATGTTATTTGATTACATTATCTTTTAAGTGAGATAAAATTGAAGATGTTTAAGGTAAAGATAGAATTCTATGATCTACGATATTTTTTCTAAAACAAGTTTCTGTATTTCCAACATTTTGAACTTTATTGATTTACTATCTTTTACACAATTTACCAACAATACACAACCCTCTTTTCTTCTGCTTTTTCCTTACAACTTATGAATCTTTGCAAGTCTAGTAGTGATCATTTTTTAATACATTAAAAAATCTTATAAATAAACGTTAGACCAACGATCTATATCTCTTGTAAATTATTACAAAGTGTTATACGGTAGTTTAATAAGTTATTAAGGTTCATAAATACATATATAAAACATTTGACATGAATCTTATATTATCTGATAGGTTAAGTTCCTAAGTACTATTAATCCAACTTCTTAAAATAGGGACAAATTAATTAAATTAACAGAAAAACTTTTCTTTGTACACAATTTCCATATTTAAGTCCCCACTCTTTTGGTACGAAATAAAAAGAAATGTGTATCATATAAATTGAAACAAAAGTGATAATTTATTATAATCCAATCTTTTCAAATCAGCCAATACTCATATTAGTTCTCCCTAATATAATAATAGCATGAAGGATATATAATTACCAATACACATTACTCTTTAACGTGACTCAAATCTTCAATTCACTAATAAATTAGTCAGTGGCGGATTCAGGATTTAAAGGTTGTGGGTGCTCACTTCCAAGCGTAAAATTCGCTGAAAAAATAAATGCTTACTAACAGGATTTGAACACTGGCCAATGGCTTTATGCACCTCTTATTGAGGAGGTTTAAACCAGCTCACCCACAATTCCTATTGTTGTGTGGGTGCTCATTTAAATTATAATATCATATTTTCTGTATATATATATAAAAAAATTTGAAAATCAATAGGTGCTCGAGCACCCGCGTCTGGCTTACTGAGTCCGCCCTTGAAATTAGTGTCAGTATTCTCCTTTTTGTGTTGTTAATTGTTCAATATAATTATTTCCCCTCTTTTTTGGATTAGTTTGTTTCGTGCATTTTATGTTGTTTTCTACGTGAAATTAATTATAATACAAAAAATTTTTGTAATGAAATATTTGTTGTAAATGTAATCTCTCAAGGTTGAGTCGATGAAGTCATTATATGATGAATTTCTAACTAATTGTCTAAAGTGAAATTAATTTTTTTTGAATCAGAGCATCTGGAAAAAATAAAATCAAGCACTTCCAAATAAAAATAACTTAATTATTTTTCCTAACAATCTTTTCAATTGTAGATCCTTATTGAAATATCTAAAATAATGATCATCACATGCAAGTGTGCAAACTTATCAATTTCGAGAAAATAACTTCAATCAAATTGTAAAATAATTTCTAAAGTTCAAATAATCCATACATAAAGGGAAAAAAATAAAGATAGAATAATGCAATAGAAATAAATAAAAACAGATAAAAGAGAAGAATATTTGAACAGATATAAAGGGAGTAGAGTTGAAATTAAAATAATCAAGTGAGAAAATGAGACAAAGAAAATCTAGAAGAGGAAGAGAATTGAAACTAAAATATTGTTTAATGATGAAATGCAGAGACACAAAAAAACATTTTTTACTCTTGCATAAAGACACGTGGAGAAACATACAACACAAATCTAGAGGTTGAAAGCCAAAAGACAAATGCCAAAAATGTCATTAGCTTTCACTTTAATTAGCATTAAGCATGCATGTTGATACAATTTTAAAACCCACACTTCTAATATTAGTAAAAAGAAAAATGTTTGTTAAATATTATTTTTGCATTCTTCTTAAGTCCCAAACAATAATTAAGGAATAACGACATGCATAAACATATATTCCATGAATAAAAAAAAATAAACATGTGTGCCACTCTTTGTAAATCAATTCTTCCGTTTTTTTTCTTTTAATTATCTATTTGAGATCATTGTTAAAAACACATTTAAATTATATTTTTATTTTTAGCTTCATATCTAAACTATTGAAAGTTTGAGTTTCATACCTAAACTATTATTTTTTAGTTTGAGAAACACACCTCTCTCTTTTATACCAGTCTCATAATGTTATGTGTAACATATTCTCTCTCTTTTATTTTAAAGAATTTCCACATCACACTCCACATCAACAAAATATTCAACTTTGACCAAAAAAAAAATATTAGTATAGTTAAAATTAAAAATTAAAAAACTATTATAAAAAAATAATACTTTCTTTATAAAATAAAATGTAAAATATTTTTCTTACTCCACACCATTTTTTAAAATTTTTTATTTTGTTTAAATTTATTTTATAAAAATATTTCATTTTTAACTTCATCTCCTCCTCATCATCAAATACTAATTTAGATGTTATTTTATATTCTTAAAATTATAATCATCCCACTTAACCTTCGGCTTTCAAATTTTTTTCCTAGTGTTTAGATACACATATCAAAAATATTTTTTACTTGCCACCACAAGACTTTTATATTTTTAGTTGTTTATGTTATATTCGGTACACTAGTAGAAATTTTTTTCTAAAAAATATATGTACGTGCATTTCTAATACAAAAATAAGAAAAACGTAAAAAAAATAAAAATTAGGAGTGAAAAATTTAATAGGATGAGGTAGAATTTTTAAAATAAAAATAATATCAATTTCTATCCGGGGGGGGGGGGGATGAAATATGAAATTTTTAAAAATATTTTATAAGTGATTTTTTTTTTAAAAGGATAAGGTTATCGCGGGGGAGGGGGTACGTGGAGGAGGTGGTGGAGTGAGATAAGAAAAATATATTATTTTTTTATATGGATAGTAATCTTTAATTTTTAATTAATATTACTTTTTTATCTAGATAAAATATTTTATCTATGTGAAATGCCATGTGTCAAAGTTTTTTCCTATAAAAGAGAAAGTGCACTACATACACCACTGAAGTGTGTTTTTTACTCTTATCTCTATATCAAAATTAACAGTTTCGCTTAGTTTAGCTTCAACAGGAATAATTCGAATTAATAAAAGATTCGAACAACGGCTCCTGATCTCTTCGGCTTGCGATGATAAATATTCGATGTAATTCCATAAGTGAAATCTGAAGAATATGGTGTATAGGAAGTTTTACTTTTATTTTGAAAAGATAGAGAGATTGTTTTTTATAAGTCATTGGCTCAAGCAAAGCATAAAAAAGAATCATGTAAAGCAAAGACAACTGTGAGAAATTTATAGAAAAAACAATATAGAAAAGAACAGTAGCAACAATAAATAATATGATAATTGAAGCCACAAAGACAATTAAATTGAACAATAAGATAGTAAGAGAGTAATCATAAGACTAATATTGTTAAGGAAAACAGACAACGGTCGATTACCTACTAACCTTCTATCCAAATCTTCGATCTTCTTATCTAGGTTCATGTCCTCGGTAAATAAGAAATATGTCATGTGTTGTAAATCATCTTTGTTTGGTACTTTTTCGGTCTACCTTTACTTCTCTTCATAAAGAGTAATATCTTATTCCTCCTCACTGATGCGTCTATGCATCTTTTTTCACATGTTCGAATCATATCACAATCTCGATTCTCTCTTTTTATCCATGGAAGTCAATATCACCTTGTCGAATATATCTTCACTTCTAGTTCTATCTCTCCTAAATCCTAATTAATCAAACATTCAATATAACATCCTCATTATTGTTACTTTCATCTTGTAAGTTCTGAACATACATATAATTTCTTGATCAACACTCCATCCAATACGAGATAGATCATTGATGATCGCTTTATTAAAACTTATGCTTGATGGCACATTCTCATCTTACAATATACTTATTTCTTGCTATATTCAAATCCCTAATTTGAAATGTTTCACTTGCGACTTATACAAATTAACTTCACTGGAGATGGTTAAATGTTTATAATTATGCAGAACTTATGTAATTAGAATTTAGTATTTGGGCTAATAAATTAAGGTTTCACATACAAATCTGTCATTTTAATTTCTTATTGTTGCCAATACGTTTATTTTATTTGGACACAGAGAACCACTTCCTTTTAATTAACTTAGGGGTTATCCTCTTAAATTATGATTACATATATATAAAGAAAGAAATGAGGATGATGAAAATACTAACATGAGATATAGCAAATTAGAGCAAGTTGGACGTAAAATTAAAGAAATTGGAAATAACAAGACAATAAAATGGTAATTAAGTAACAAATCAATAAGAACATTAATTTCAAGCAATTGGAAGCAATCTAAAACTTAGGACGTTTATTATCATGGCGATGAACTTGTGAAGCAAGAAGTTCGTCTAGAAGATTGTTATCCAAATACTCAAACTCAACCTTCTCTCCGTGATCATGTCTATCATCAGAAAAAGCAGAAGCAGAAGCCGAAGCAGAAGAAGAAGAGGACATGTTCATATTGTTCCCCATTGTAGATGGCGTGTTATAGCTTGGTCCAACACCTAGAGGTACATTAGTATTATTATTGATATGATAATGTCCATCATTAGGGAAGTTGAGAATGGCTTGATGACCCCTTAGAGAAAACGCGGCTCTATCATAAGCTCTAGCCGCTTCTTCAGCTGTTTCAAAAGTACCTAACCATAGACGTGCACCATTCCTATTAGGATCACGTATCTCAGCAGCATATTTACCCCATGGTCTTCGTCGTATGCCTCGATATTTGTTCTCTCTTCTCCCTCTTTGATCTTCGTTCTCCATCGACTTGGTCACCCTTTCTAAGTTTTTATTAATTTGTAGGTGAATATAATGTAACGTGCTAAAGTGTGTGTGGATGTTTAAGTGTATATATATGCATGGATATGACTATTATTTATTTTATTTTCAATAAATAGATAGATGTCGTAGTCATATTTGACCATTGACCGATTTTGACTTCTTCCACATAAAGGTTGGGGTTAGAGTCATGTGTGGCAACGAGGCTGATGGTGGCTTTCCTAAATTTACATGAATGATTTGACTGGTCATAAAGCGGATTTATATTTTGCGGGAGGTAAAATTAAATTTAATCCATTTAAATTTAGATAAATTATTGATTTGTTTAATTTATTTAAAGTCAGATTGATATCTAATTCAAAGTGATTCACATGATAATATTGATTATATACTTTTAAAAAAATTATTTGGTACTGAAAATTTACGAAAAAATAAATAAAGTAAGTAAAATTTTGTTAAAAAATAAATGAATTGAATTATGATTAGTTTTGATCCAAGCTAGATTCGATTTAATTTTGACTCATTTTGATCCTATCAAATTTGACCAAACTTGCCAATTGTCAACTCCAAGAGATCAATTACCCCATAAACATTAAAGTTGAAGGGAAAATGTTTAGAATTTGTACTGCAAATTTAATTACTTTGTCTATTCATTTTTATTTATCTATTATATTATAAATATTTTTTATTATTATCCACTTTAGCATATTTCACGATAAAAAGAAAAACAAAAATATGTTTACTTTTAACATTAAATAATCATTTCCCCAGTTCATTGAGATTATATACTAATTAATATGTGTATTATGGTAAATCCAATAATGACATGTAAATTAGTCAATGTTGCGTAAACGTCTCAATAAAAAAAAGGATTTAGTCATTAATTCATAAGGTTCTCTCTCACGTATACAAATATACATATACTGAGTTGATTTGAATTTTCTGTCATCAAATTGAATAAATTATATCACTTTTTTATGTTTATAAATCAAATTAAACTAAAATAAAGTTAATATTTTTAATTTTTATTTTATTCTCGAATTTTTCTATGTCTCGATATAAACATCTGACAACAATTTGTTTTATGTGAAATACATATATAATGTAAACGTCATACTATTTTACACAATTATACTTATCCAGTTCAATAACAACATTATAATAAAGACAAAAAAAACATATAATATATTAAGAGCTTAGACTCTTAGAAGTTGAGCACTTTCTAAATTGATAAACTTTGTATAAAAAGAATTAATTAAAAATGAATACAAAGGGAAACTTTATGGGATAATTGTTGATTGAAGTTAATATTTACAAAGTATATTATAATTAATTTTTTGTTATAAATAATATAATAATAATAATAATAATATAATAATAATAATAATAATATAATAATAATAATAAATGAAAGTTCTAAGTTTGATGATTGTCAAGTCCAATTTGGTAGTCCGCCCAGTGGGATGAAAGCCCAATATTCTTTTCAGAGATTAAAAGCCAATTAGTGTTCCAACAACAAATTATTTTGAAGAATATATGAAGCTTCCAAGAACCAACAATATATCTAATTTAATTATTCAAATCTTAGTCATTAAATCGGTCTATTTTCGAGATCTGAATCACAATTATTAAGTGTATTTGTTATTCTTATTTTACAATCACTAAATAAGTCGAATCTATCTAAATAATTAAAAATTTGTATAAAGATGACATTTCATCGGTACTCTATCTACTTTCACCCACCATCTACAATCACCAATTCAGCCTCAACTGTCAGTCTCTCACCATCATCAATCACCACCACCACCACCTACTTTCCACAATCACCATACTTTGCCCAACCACAACAGACCAACACCGTCAATCACCAAAATCAATTGTCATCATCATTGACCGTCATTTGCATTCATCACCACTAATCATTATTATATCCACTAACCACCATCATTAGTCGACATTATATACCGCTAACCACCATCATCAGTAATTTTTGTTTTTAGCTATCATTATCATTTCACTAATAAATATCAATTGTCACCAACAACAATTGATTAATCACTACTATCAATCATTATTGTCTTGTAAAATTTTATAATATTTTATTAATATTAGATCAATTTAGTATTTTTTTTAAAAAAATTAATTATTTTTAAGCAATTTTTTATATATATAATTAGATGTTGAGAAAAATAGTCTAAACTATTTAGTATTCAAATCTTAATGCAACATCTTTATATTCAGATGTATATTTTTATTTTTATATTTGTTTATATCCGTAAGGAACTTGGAATGAAAGTGTCAAAACCCAAACCTAAAAAATATATTTCTAAAAATCCATAGAGTGATACACTGTTATATAAATAATTTAAAATAAAACTTCAAATTTAAATTGATAACATTACAAATTTGAAAAATACAAACTTAAATGACTAATACATTGCAAATCAAAATATAAACTTTCAACTTCTTGACTTTTGCACCTTTTCACCAAGTTCCTAATTAATAACTTATGATTTGGGAGGTGTATGTATTTGGTTCCGTTTATAAATTAAATTTTTATACTTATGATATTGCTAACTGAATCTGTAAACTCACTGAAGCACAATATTTTAAAACTAGAATTGGACTTGTGCTTACATATTGTACAAGGGTCCTAAAGTTGGACCTTTTGCTTACAATATACAGAAAGAATTGAGCGAAAAAAAAAAGAAAAGAATAAAATGGTATTTATAAGGGCAACTTTCGCCTATAGTAAATAAAAAATTCATATTTGTATGTTATAAAAAACTGTGCATAATTGCGCTCCATAGCAAACATAGAAGCTGTATAATTCGCTATACATATACAATTGAAACAAATTGTATAAAACGAAGAGTATAAAACAAGAAAGAGAAAGATACCTGGGCAGAAAACTGTATAAAAACGAAGTGTATAAAACGAATTATATTATCATAAGTGTATAGAACGATTATATACAATTTGAATTTATATAAAATGAGAAAGAGAGAAAGACAAAAAAAACTTGACAAAGAATATACAATTACATCGAATTATATAAAACGAGAAAGAGAGAAATTAGATACAATTTGAAAATTGTGTAAAACGAGAAAGAGAGAAAGGCAAAAGAAACTGGGCAGGGGAGCATTTTTATTGTATAATTATAAGTGTATAGGACGAAATATATGTACTTGCATGTGTATATACAATTTTCTCACGCTTTATACAAACAGAAACACAATTTATACATTTTGCTTCTGTTTGTATAAGTGAAAAAGGCGAGGGTGGCGAGCGAGATTTGGGAGAGTGGCGAGCGAGATCGGGAAGAGGGGAGAGAGGGGAACAAAAATATATGTATTTATATAATTTTCTCTGCTTTATACAATTAGAAACAATTTTTATACACTTGTGTTTGTATAAAAAGTGAGGAAGCGAGCGAGAGATTGGAGGAGAGTGGCGAGCGAGATATTTGGGAGAGAGGCGTCGGACAATTTTTTACAAACGTTTGCTATGGAGCACAATTAAATCAATCCCTAACTACTCCATTTATTTTAGATTATTAGGTTTCTATTATATATAATTTTTCCTATTTATAATTTTAATACTGGACAAAATGTAATTTAATAATGTATAAATTTAAGGAATCCCATAGTGTAATTCAATAATTACATTCTGTCCCGATAAGTTTAATAATTACAAAAAATCCCTTAAAATTGCCGAGCCGTGATACTTTAGAAAGTTATGATACATGGTAAATGATACATAGTAACTTAAAACTGTTAAGAAAAAATAGGGGATAAAAACGGTAAATTTAAAGCTGTTACTAAAACAGCTTAATTTGTGGTAACAGATCATTAATCAGTATTAAATCAGCACTTAATTGGATATTAATTTCATAATTTGAAAATCAAAGATTGTATCAGTTATTTAGAAAACAATTGGAGCTGCCGAAATTTTTTTGTTGTTGCAGTGAGTTTTTAAAGATGAATACTTCGATTTTGATGAGATATTCCGGAATTTGGGTGAACGAATTGCAGTATGAAAATTACAAAATTGATGGAATCGTTGTTGGTGATTCAATTTCGTTTTCTAATCTCAAAGCAGCAATTGCGGCCGAGTTGGACATTGATGTATCAAGGAAAGGAATTGAAATTCGATACATTGTAGAAGGTAACTCCTGTCCGATGAAACTTAAGAACGATATGAGTATAAACTATATTTGAACTTAGAAAAAAAACGAGACCT